ATGTTTGGTCCTTCCAACAAGACTGTATTACTTGATTTTACAAATGAGGAAAGAGGCTCAGAGAGAAGGTCACTTTCTGAGGTTCTGAGAGGCCAAGCAAGGATTTCAAATACAAGTCTTCATTCTTTCCGTCTGTAATGCTTATTTAGTATGCTCTCGTGATTGGTACATAACAACTCCATACACAAAGACATACACATTTTTAGTTTCAGATTATTGAGATAATTCACAGACCATGCAATTCACCCACCTAAAGTGCACAGTTTTCAGTACATTCAAAAGGTGTGCAATTGTCACTGCAGTCAATTTAAGAACAGTTTAATCTCTCCATAAAGAAACCACATAAATTTTAGCTATCATTCTCTTTCACTACTTCTCCAGCCTGGGAAACTGCTTGCCTACTTTCTGTTTGTATAGATTCTACACATTTCTCATAAATGGAATCATATCATATGTGATCTTTGGGTCTGTTTTATTTCACTTGGCATGATCTCTTCAATGTAGCACTAATCAGAACTTTATTCTATTTTATGGCTGAATAATATTCCACTGTATGGATATGCCACATTTGCTTATGTATTCATCTCATCAGTTGATGAACATTTGATTGTATTTGCCTTTTGGAATCAGTAATACTGTTATGAAAATTCAAATGTTTATTTTTATTTTTTGAAGGTGTTGGGGATTGAATCCAAGGCCTTGCACTTGTTTTTTTTTTTTTTCCAGAAAATAGTTGGGTTTTATTTATTTATTTATTTATTTATTTAAATTTATTTTTTCTTTTATTATTCATATGTGCATACAAGGCTTGGGTCATTTCTCCCCTCTGCCCCCACCCCCTCCCTTACCACCCACTCCGCCCCCTCCTTCTCCCCGCCCTCAATACCCAGCAGAAACTATTTTGCTCTTATTTCTAATTTTGTTGTAGAGAGAGTAGAAGCAATAACAGGAAGGGACAAGGGTTTTGGCTGGTTGAGATAAGGATAGCTATACAGGGAGTTGACTCACATTGATTTCCTGTGCGTGGGTGTTACCTTCTAGGTTAATTCTTTTTTGATCTAACCTTTTCTCTAGTACCTGTTCCCCTTTTCCTATTGGCCTCAGTTGCTTTTAAGGTATCTGCTTTAGTTTCTCTGTGTTAAGGGCAACAAATGCTAGCTAGTTTTTTAGGTGTCTTACTTATCCTCACCCCTCCCTTGTGTGCTCTCGCTTTTATCATGTGCTCAAAAGTCTAATCCCAATTGTTGTGTTTGCCCTTGATCTAATGTCCACATATGAGGGAGAACATACGATTTTTGGTCTTTTGGGCCAGGCTAACCTCACTCAGAATGATGTTCTTCAATTCCATCCATTTACCAGTGAAGGATAACTTTTTGTTCTTCTTCATGGCTGCATAAAATTCCATTGTGTATAGATACCACATTTTCTTAATCCATTCATCAGTGGTGGGGCATCTTGGCTGTTTCCATAACTTGGCTATTGTGAATAGTGCCGCAATAAACATGGATGTGCAGGTGCCTCTGGAGTAACCTGTGTCACAGTCTTTTGGGTATATCCCCAAGAGTGGTATTGCTGGATCAAATGGTAGATCCATGTCTAGCTTTTTAAGTAGCCTCCAAATTTTTTTCCAGAGTGGTTGTACTAGTCTACATTCCCACCAACAGTGTAAGAGGGTTCCTTTTTCCCCGCATCCTCACCAACACCTGTTGTTGGTGGTGTTGCTGATGATGGCTATTCTAACAGGGGTGAGGTGAAATCTTAGTGTGGTTTTAATTTGCATTTCCTTTATTGCTAGAGATGGTGAGCATTTTTTCATGTGTTTTTTGGCCATTTGAATTTCTTTTTTTGAGAAAGTTCTGTTTAGTTCACTTGCCCATTTCTTTATTGGTTCATTAGTTTTGGGAGAATTTAGTTTTTTAAGTTCCCTATATATTCTGGTTATCAATCCTTTGTCTGGTGTATAGTTGGCAAATATTTTCTCCCACTCTGTGGGTGTTCTCTTCAGTTTAGAGACCATTTCTTTTGATGAACAGAAGCTTTTTAGTTTTATGAGGTCCCATTTATCTATGCTATCTCTTAGTTGCTGTGCTGCTGGGGTTTCATTGAGGAAGTTCTTACCTATACCTACTAACTCCAGAGTATTTCCTATTCTTTCTTGTATCAACTTAAGAGTTTGGGGTCTGATATTAAGATCCTTGATCCATTTTGAGTTAATCTTGGTATAGGGTGATATACATGGATCTAGTTTCAGTTTTTTGCAGACTGCTAACCAGTTTTCCCAGCAGTTTGTTGAAGAAAGGCCTTGCACTTGTAAGGCAAGAGCTGTACCACTTGAGCCACAGCCCAGTCCTCTAATGTGTATTTTTAAAAGTATTTTTATGCAAATTGAATATAATTTTAAATTTTCATATACCCTCCCCCCCATTCTAAACTTACGAAAAATTCTGATTTCATGTCTGAAAACTGATGAAAATTTCATGAACAAAGGATCTGAATGAATAAAATGTGAGTAAATATTGTGGCAATTCATGTTGTGGTTGGTAAATACAAAAGAGCAGTAATGCCAGGGGATAAGTTGCAGTGAACCTGCAGCTCAGCAGCATGTCCCAGTAAGTCCACAATGTAGTTTGTTTGGCAGCAGCTCTGCTTAATGGCTTTTTTTTTTGTGGAACTAGGACTTGAACTCAGGGCCTTCACCTTGAACCACTGCACCAGCCCTTTTTTGTGAAGAGTTTTTCCAGATAGGGTCTGGCGAACTATTTGCCAGTGCTGGCTCCAACCGCAGTCCTCCTGATGTCTGCCTCCTGAGTAGCTAGGATTACAGATGAGCCACCAGCGCCTGGCTTACTCAATGCTTTTAAGTAGGAATTCAGTGAGCTGACCTCAAACGTGGCTCTAAGACATGGGAGGAGAAAATGGATGTCCTAAGCTTTCACTTAATCACATGGCTTGCATTTATAGTAAGAGAATGTTTCTGTTGTGATGATAGTGACATCAAGTATTTCAATGTAAACTACTTTGCAACATAGTCTTGAGAATATTTAAGTGTATTGAAAACGGAAAATTTGCAATTATGAAAGTTTCCTGCAAAAATAGGTGATACTTTTTGAAAAGCTGATTTAAATGCATGTTGTATTTTTCAATAAAAGAGAGCAGTGTATTTATGCCGTTAGCCACAGGTGGCTCATTTTCATTGCAAACGAGTGAATGAATCTCAACTTCTACTGGATTGTCTCCTACACGTGTCTACTAGAGTCGAGTCTTTAGAGTCCTTAACGGATGATTAACTCCATTAAAATGTGCATGTCCCCTGTCATCCTACAGGGTTCCAGACTTTTACATCCTGTGGTTATCCGTCAAGGGGCAGTGGTGTCAATGACCATCTAGTTGAGAACTCCAATCCACCGCCATCCATCAGGGCGGGACTGCGCCCAGCGCCCCCGCTGCAGTCCCGCTGGGCTCCGCTAGGGCGCGCGCCGCCCCGTTCTCGGTCCGCGGATCTGGATCGGCGCCGGGCGTCCCGAGACCGGGGCTAGACGAGGAACAAAGCCGAGACCCCGCGGACGCCCCTGGCCGCCCCCCATCCCCGGCCTCGGCGGCGCCCGCACTGGGCTGCGCTTGCGGGCCGCGTGGCGGAGCGGGGCCGGGGCTGCGGGTCGGCCACGGCTCCAGGGTGTTTGGGTCCTCGCGGGCGCGAGCCCCGCTCGGGCAGCCCGCGGCTCCTCCATCTTGCTGGGCCGAGGAGCGGGTGGCGGCGTCACCCCGCCGTCGTGCGGCCCCCGCGGTCCCGCAGGCGCACGCCGAAAGCGGGGCCGCAAAGTAGAACCCAGTCGGGGGTGCGGGGGAGCAGGGTCCCGTCCCTACGGGGCTGAGTTCCGAGTGGGCCCCAAGTTCCCCCAGCACTTCCGACAAAATGGAGGACGTCGCCTCCTCCCGCTGCAGCCATGGCGGGAGGTGGGGGGTCCGCTTCCCACGGAGCGACGCGAGGCTGCGAGCGTCCCCCACGGCCGCCCCTCGGCCTCGCCGCGGCCCCTGCCCGGCCTCGTCCCTCGCGGGAGGCTTATCGGGACTGGGCCGGGAGGACGCTGGAGTCTCGAAGCCTGGTCGCTCCTCGGGCAGAGGCACTGGGAGCCCGGCGACGGCCTGAGGCCCCGCCTCCGCCCCCTGGGCGGCCCCGGCCCGGGGAGTCCTCGACCCCAGGCCCCGAGTCGGGGCTGGCGGCGCGGCTTAGGCTCCTGACCCTGGCGGACCCGGTGGGTGGGGTAGGGTGGGGCGAGGGTACGGAGGGGAGGGGAGGGGAGGAGACATGGCCAAGCCGAGGGCCGGCGGAGGGGAGAGTGAAACCATAGGGCCGGGGGCGTGGCCCGCGTCTGACCGACAGCCACACGGACTACCCCGCCGATGGTGGGTGGGGGGGTTTCATGATGGAAGGTTGACGTAGCCATTGCCGTGTCCGAGGCGTCTTGGCCCGCCTCCGCCTCCAGCCAATGAGGACGCGAAGGGCGGGGCCTCCCGGGGCTCGGCTGCGCCGCCGCCTCCGCCTCCTCCTCCTCCTCACCAGCGCTAAAGCCGGGACTGGACCGTGCGGAGTTTGCGTGTCGCCGAAGGGGGGTGGGTCGGGGGAGGGGAGGTTCGTTCCGCGGAGCCGCAGCCAGAACCGGGTGAGGCTTATCCCCGCTGTCTTTGCAGTCCAGGGCCGCCGAGAGTGGGGGTGGCTGGGAGCAGCGCAGCCTCCGGAGGAGGAGGCGGAGGCGGAGGCGGCTGGGGAGGCGGAGATGGGTGAGGGCAGCCTCCGAGCCTCCCCCCGACCCGGGCTGCGCACCCCGCGGTGCGGCCGTCGTGCCGCCTCCGCGTCGGGGCCTCGGGGTCTGTTCGGGGCCACGCTCATGTCGCGGGTGCCTGCGTTCGTGCGCGGCTCGAAGGCGGCGGGAGTGCGGGCGCGGCCGGGCGGGCCGGGTGAGGCGGACGCCGGGGGCGGGGGTCGCCGGAGGCCGCGGGGACGGGGACGAGGGGCGGCCGGGAGGTCGCGGTTGTTTTCCTTTCTCTGCTGCGGGGTCGGGGCCGGGCCGGGCCGCCGTTCCAGCTCTCGGGCTGCGCTCCCACCCTGTCGGCCCGAGCCGGGGTCCCTAAGTTTGCGGTGGCGAACGTGGCTGTCGTGCCCCGCCGGGTCCCCTCCTTCGCGGCTTTCCCCGGCGCTGCGCTGCGCGGCTTTGCTCCGCACGTATTGTTTGGCTGGGTCTCTAATGGCGGACGGGGAGGCAGCGCTGCCGGTCGCCGACTGCGGGGGGTGGGGGGGCAAACCTCGGGCCCAGGGCAACTGCTTGGGGGCAAATATTGGCGATATCAGCTCTGCGGTGACGCGAGCCGCCCCTTACCTCCAAATTTTTGCGGAGAGGCACGGGGATGACGCTGGGTGGGCAGATTTAGGAGGGAACACAAATCCCTTGCTGGCGTCGGGGCAACGTTTGCCCTTCCCCCTCCCATTTTTAGGAGTAGGCCTTATGTCTTAAGCCCCTTCCCCTCCCGATTTCCCCTTTCACATGGGTTTTGGACCCCAATACGGATTTTACGCTGTTTAGTTCCACTTAGGTAGGAGGAGGCTGTCGTAGGTGGGGTGAGGGTAATAATAGAAGGGCCGAACCTCCTTGACCTCTTATTCCCTTCTCTGCCTCCTTCTGGTGGAAAAGGCTTGGCGTTCCCAACCAGGTTGGGTGTTCTTGATCCAGTTTTCATTTTTTTTCTCTTATCCCAGGGCCGGGAATCACCTTCAGCCCTATGTGGTGCATCTTTGGCAGAAAGTGAGGAGGAATCACCCCTATTGTGAGTCCTTTGCCCCTAATTTGCTGCTCTGTATGGAGGACGTTGTCAGATTGTAGGGTTTCAGCCTTGGAACTTGGCCCTCGGGTCGTTTGGAGGGGAGGAGCTTTCCCTGGGGCGGCAGCTGCCCCCGGGTAATGGCTGGTGAGGCAGCTGGGAGTGGGCGCCTCTGTTTCCACCGCTGCAAACATCGCTCCTGCTGCTGCAATACCAACCTCAGCAACCAGACGACGGGCTTCTGCAGCTGCTCACGTTACCGCGGAGGGGGGGTGCTGCGAAGGAGGGCATATTTCTGGTGCCCTCTAGAGTTCCAAAGTGGGAATGAACATTATTTCGTTTTAAATGGATGCATGCAACCATTTTTTAACATTTTTATCTGTCACAATGGCTAACTGGTCTAAGGGATTGGAAACCGAAAGAGAACCATTCGATTTTTTTGTTTTTGTCTGGCCTATAATAGAAAATTTGACTGTTTTTATAGTTTATAAGTTGCTAGATCTTTTTCATTTCTTTGCTTAGAAAAGGGCATGGTGCTCACTCCTTGAGTACCTACTTTCTGTCTTAACCTTCCCAAGTAAAACGGTGATCAGACCAGTGCAGTGTTCTAGTTACTTAGTATTCCATCTCCAGTGTTGATTAGTCTTCACTTAAGAGTCACTCTCCAATGTGTAACCTGAGAATTACCATTTAACACTTGTAATTTGGTGGTTTTAAGGTAATCTTGTAATGTGCTAGACAGTGAGATAAAGATAACCCCATTTTTCCTTCAGGCAAATTGACACTAGTTGCAAAGTATCAGTGAAGTCAGCACTCTGGACATATTGTATCTCTTATTGTAACCAACAGACTGTGTGTGGGGAGGTGGGGTCATAAACGTGTGACTGGATGCTTAAATATTAAGTCCAAATGGGTTAAAAATAGTTCATTGGAAGTAAGGGTTTGTTGAGTACAGATTGGGAAGGATCATAACCATTTTAGGCACAGTGCAAGGTACATTAATGTATTTCTGTCTTGAATTTTAGCAAGGAGCATACAAGTAATGGGATAAAATAGCATAAATTGAGCCCTTAGTCTATTCTGGTCCAGTCCTAAGTTTTTAAAAATCATTTTTTACATGAAAACTCTTAAATTTCACTGGGGTTTGAACTCGGCCTCATGCTTGCTAGACTGATGGTTTTACGACTTGAGCCACTCTGCTAGCCCAATACTCAGTAAGTTTATGGGCAAGAATAGTATAATGAACCTCCATGTACCCATCACTTTTATTCTAAAATTAGCAACACATATCAAACTAATTTTTTTCTTTCTTTTCTTTTCTTTTTTTTTGTCAGTTCTGGCGTTTGAATTCAGGACCTCGTGCTTGCTAGGCAGGCACTGAACCACTTGAGCCACTCTGAAGCCCCCAAACTAACCTGTATTATTTTACTCCTTAAGAAAATACAGTGACATAGGATTAATTTCCTATATTGCAGAGGGGAAACAGCACACAGGAAGATACTCAACAGCATTTGGTAAAGCAAGGGTTTGAACTTAAGCAGTTTGAGTACAGAGCCTAAGTTCAGCAACTATACCCTCCTACTTTGAAATGTATAGTATGCTCATTTAAAAAATCTATTAGTTGAGACAGTGAAAAAACAAAATCAAGACAGCTTTCTTGGCACATATGACCTTTTCCTATTTAAGTGCGTAGAAACATGCAAAATACATGGATGTGGTTGAGTACCATTTTTTAAAAATAAAGAGAACCTGCCGGGTGCTGGTGGCTTACCTCTGTAACCCTAACTACTTGGGAGACAGAAATCAGGAGACTCAAGGTTCGAGACCACCCCAACAAATAGTTTGAGAGACCCTCTATCAAAAATACCCAATGCAAAACAGGGCTGGTAGGGTTGCTCAAGTGGTAGAGCACCTGCCTCTAGTGAGGCTCTGAGTTCAAACCTCCGTACAGCCAAAAAGAAAAAGAAACATAGTTATAAGTTAGATTGGTATGTTGTCTCATTTCAACACTAACTTGAATCAGTGCTAATATATCTTTTTTTTTTTTCATTTATTCATATGTGCATACACAGTGTTTGGGCCATTTCTCCCCCCACTAATATATTCTTGTTTTTAATCTTTCTGTACAGTTTACAATCTGTAATTATTTTCTAAGTATAAATAGTAACTTGAATGAATATAACATCTCTGAGTTTGAAGTTTTTTTCAGTGTTTAAATAAGGCTCAGAGATCAGATCTTTCAAGTAGATGGATCATGATTATTACCACATATTTCCACAAAAGATTTACCTTTCTTCAACTTTGTTCTTAATTCTAAGTGATACTGATAAAGGAAGCTTGACAATCGGTATGTTTGGTAGACATTTGTATTTGAAAGATGTAAATGTACAGGTCAAGACTTTTTTGTGATAACACATGAATGCTAATGGAAAGCAATGTTTTTTGGGGAGGAGGCAGTATTGGGATTCAAACTCAGGGCGTCATGCTTGCTAGGCAGGTGCTTTTACCACTTGAGCCACTCCACCAGCCCTTTTTTGTGTTGGGTATTTTCAATATAAGGTCTTATAAACTATTTACCTGTACTGGTCTACAACTTTCAGTTCTCCTGATCTCTGCCTCCCGGATAGCTAGGATTACAGGCATGGACCACCTGTGCCCAACTAGAAAGCGATGTTTTTTTTTCTTTCTTTTTAAAATATCTTTATTAGTATATAATAATCATACAAAGAATTTCTTTGTGACATTTCCATATATGTGTACAATGTACTTTTCATCATTCTCCCTCGTCCTCCTCCTCCTGAAAGCAGTTATTCTTTTAAAGAATATCAACATATGGTTCTTGTTTTGCTTAATGATTTAGCTCAGAATTTTAAGTCTACTTTGAAACACCAACTATATGTTCGTGAGATGAAGGTAACTTGATAATTTTTAATTGACCTTGACTAAATTCTTTTGTTCTAACATTTATTGAGCACTTAATATGAGTTAGGTATACTTAGAAAGTATTTTAAAGTTAAAATACCTAGCGTATTTATAAAGTCTTTCTTTAGTGCATCTCCTTGACAGTATATACCCTTATTACCCTGTTACCTGTACTTCGCAATGCTTGAGGGAAAGATAGAAGGTGATAATACCTACTTTTCCATTTTCTACTTTTATATAACCTCATGGGCTGAATTTTTGTACCTGACTTGGTGAGACAGCCCTGAATTACTCAGATATTCTATAGAAGTTGACATAACATCTTAGACTTGCATGGATATAGAGCTTGTCATACTGTCTTTGTGTTAACAGTATTCATATGTGTAATGTTTTGTTGTATTTTGTTCTTGTTTGAGGTACAAAAGTGCATAAACAAGGCTTTTGAGAAAAAGTACATTTTTGCCTTTAATCAGATGTGCTGGTATTACTATGATGGAAAGAATATGTCTGAAAGCTGTTATCTATCTTTATTGTCAAAAGATGTGTGGTATAGTGGGGTATTAGTGTTGGGACACTGAGATGGGCAGGATCACAGTTGAGGCCATCCTGAGCAAATATTTAGGGAGACCCCCACTTCCATAATAACCAGAGCAAAATGAACTGAAGGTATAGCTCAAGCAGTAGAGTGCCTGCTTTGTGAGCATGAAGCCCTGATTTCAAACCCCAGTTCCACCAAAACAACACAAAACCCCTAAAACAAAACAAAACAAAAAACTAGAGATGTGGGTATAATTAGAAGTTTGTATTTTCTGTCTCTAGGCATTGATATCTGTCTCCATTCCATTTGACATTATTATTAACAATATATGCCATAGTACACTGAATGACACCTGTTAGAAGAAGACTGGCATATTCAGCTTCCATTTCTCTTTTAATGGAATGCAAGGAGAACCCAAACTTAGCTGGGCAGTGGTGGCTCATGCCTGTAATCCTAGTTACTCAGGAGAAAGAGATCAGGAAGATTGCTGTTTGAGACCCTATCTCAGAAACCCTTCTGAACCCAAAAGACCAAAACTCATATGTGCTCCCTCATATGCAGACATTAGATCAAGGGCAAACACACAAGGGGACAGGACTCTGATCACAAGGTAAAGCGAGAGCACACAAGGGAGGTATGAGGATAGGTAAGACACTCAAAAAACTAGATAGCATTTGTTGCCCTCAATGCAGAGAAACTGAAGCAGATACTTTAAAGCAACTGAGGCCAATAGGAGAAGGGGACCAGGAACTAGAGAAAAGGTTAGTTCAAGAGGAATTAATTTAGAAGGTAACACACATGTACAGGAAAGTAATGCAAGTCAACTCCCTGTATAGCTATCCTTATCTCAACTAGCAAAAACCCTTGTTCCTTCCTATTATTGCTATACTCTCTCTTCAACAAAGAGATGAGGGCGAAATAGTTTCTGCTGGTGGTGAGGTGGGGGGCAGGGAGGAGGGAGAAATGACCCAAACATTGTATGCACATACAAATAAAAGAAAAAAAAAAACCCTTCTGAAAAACCCTTCACAAAAAAGGGTTGGTGAAGTGGCTCAAGGTGTAGGTCCTGAGTTCAAACCACAACATCGCCAATTAAAAAAAAAAAAGAACCCAAACTCAAATGATCTCTCGTATTGATTCTCCATCTATTTTTTCTAGGACATTCCAATTTAAGAGACAGATTGCTTGGACTCTGAGTATAGTCTTTTTCTTTTCCTTTTATTAGACAGCCTCCCTATAGTTATATAGTCCAGATTGGCCTGGGACTCACTCTAAGGCAGACTAGCCTTTTTTTTTTTTAAAGTACTGGGGTTTGAACTCAGGGTCTCATACTTACTAGGCAGGGACTCTACCACTTGAACCACTCAGCCAACCTTGTTTTGTGTTGGGTTTTTTTTCAAGATAGTCTCGAGAGCTGTTTTCTCCAGCTGGCTTCAAACCGAGATCCTCCTGATCTCTGCCGAGTAGCTAGGAGTATAGGCATGAGCCAGTGGTCTTCAAACATGGAACTTTTTGAGTCATACATGACAACCTCAAGTGGAAAATT